CAACTTGATATACTTAAAGAGCACTTTAGGATCTTGAGGAAGTGAATGGAACTTCAAATCTGGGGAATTGCGCCAATTATTTGTGCAACGAGGCACACAGCACGAGAATTTCCCCATGTTTTTCTTTATCACTTTGGCTCGCGTCTCCAAGAACAGCCCCAGGGTGCTTCGCGAGTTAAGTTCCGCCCCAGTCTCCCATTGAATTCCGGAAAGACGGATTGAGAGCAAAACAAGGCACGATTCGTGAATCAATCGCACCAATGAGAGCCAATCAGACTGCAAGGATCACCAGAGATTTCAAAATGGACGAAATAAAGGAAGATTATGTGAAAGGGTTAAGAATCTATTATTTAATCATTGCTTTGCCATCCCTACTCACACCCTAATTCAGTTGTTAAATCAACCACTGAAGTTAGCTCTAGTTTATTGTTATGCTGGTATCTTTTATCAACTGAGGTGACTTTATTGACTTGCTGGTGTGTGAAAGCAATAACACAAGAAAATCTGCGCAAATAGAGCGAATTGACTTTGATTAATTCGGGCTTTCCTTTTCAGAAGTCCCAAAATATTCTTTGAATTCTACTGGCCAAAAAGTTATGATGTATCGCCCTTGAATTCAGTCAAATGAATAAAAGAAACTATTTTGACGCTGAATTAAAAAGCATTAGGAAGATACAAACACGTTCACAGTAGCGTAGGGTTTGTTAAACCTACAGCTGTTTCAATAACGGTAAAAGTGCACTTAAAATAGAATCTTGCGATTTATTTTAAGGTGTTACCTCTTGTCGAATCGAATTTTAAAAGTTACAGCCCATTTTAACTGCATTCGTTTTACAACATTTAGCTTGATTAAGCTAACCATGATTTATTCTAGAAAATCGAATGTGTAACCATTCAAACACGCAGTGTTAAAGTTGAAATGCAAGCCAAAGTAAAACTCATTATCTTTGAAATAAAGCACGAATCAGGGTAAACACAGTATGGCAAGTTGTCAATCTGTGTGTGCGCGTGTCACACTGCCTCAACCCTAGATATTTATTCAATACAATTACTCTGGCTCTCAGACATTTAAAAAGATCCTGAATATATTTTGGATATATAAAAACCTACTCTCAAATTCATCAAATTCCTGATTTAAGGTAAGCAACTTGGCGTTCATAATTTTCATATTTCAGTTCCTCCTCACATGAATCAACATTGATTTTTTACCTCTAAACATTATCACTGTTTTCATGGGTAGGTTCTTTTTGAATATATTTCTTACGTATTTTTTCCCCCAAAAGACTGAGTTACTTTTTCAACAATAAAAGTAGAGCATTAAAGTTACACCAATTTACTGAGTGTCAGTCGTAGGTATTACAAATGGTCACATAGGAAAATCGACGAGAAAATAAAATCTCTATGTTCAATCTTGCTCGTGGCTGAAACGAGTATACTTAAAAAAACACCGCTTTTAACTCAATTAAAATATAATATTTTAGGCTAAATTAAATTGAAATGAAATCACATAATTATGGTATTAGTTCTAGGTGCTAGAAACTCGAAATACAATCTTTAGGAATCGTTAAAACCGTTAGAAAATGGAATGGTATTCTTGGAGATTCCAGGTTGGCTTCGAGACGAAAATTTAAGAGCACAGCGATGTGAGGTCACAAAAAGAGACGCAAAATTAAAACGACGAAAGTGACTCGAACGTATTTTCCCTCTGCTAGACACAACCTGAAGCAAAAATTATAAGCAAATAGGAATTGACATCAGAGCGAGATTTCGCTAAAGCAGTTAATTTCGTTAGTACCCTCGAATGTATACATGCGGAACTGTCACATCCTGACCTTAACCTTTCGAACTTCTTTGACCAAATGAAGCTGTAAAAAGAAACCAGGTATTTTTATGGACTCTACTGCTGCTACGAACTTGATGTCAAGCAAGATGGCCCGGCGCCAGTTCGTATTTTCTTATGATATTTCAGTTCGACAAAAGGCATAGAATCGTAGAAAGGTGTCAGTGTTATTCTTGGGATCTCTTTCCATTTATTTTCCGAAGGATAATGATGATGATATTAATTTACCCTGAACGGTTATCCATTTGATCGGAGATACATTTTATTAGTGTTTCTCCGTTATTCAAATATTTTTGCGTCGACTTAATGTCATGTAAAATTGAGATTATCGCGTAAAATCTACTTAAGCTGAGATTTTCTGATAGAGAGCTGAATATTCATATTATTTCCTAGCCACTTCTTTATGTTTCGAAAGTCTTCCGGCTTGCATAAAGGAAAAAATCTGTCAGACTGATCTAAATGAATAATGAATTTTTCTCATTATTTCAGTGACATCAACTTCGAGTGCACAAAACGATTACTAGGTATCCGCCGAGCACCGGATCTCTGCCTGGTATGTTAGGGTGTGGTTTATTGGCCTCTTAAGTCCACTATAGCGTTGGTAGCTGTCCTTGGAAATGGAGTGGTGATGTGGTTGATCTGTACGAGAAGGCGTTTGCACTGCACAGCAAACTGGTTTGTTCTGTCATTAGCTTCAGCTGACTTTTGCACCGGTTTGATTATTACGCTATCGGAGCTTTTTTGCCTTTGGAAACCACAAATGTGTAATTGGCAATTAAAGTGCGCGCAGCTTTTTACAACTATCCAATCAACGTATCGATATACTGCCTCAACGTACTGACATTTGACCGTTTTCTCTACGTGCTTAGGCCCTTACAATATGCCAGGTGCGTGACCTCAAAACTTGTCGTAGGTCTTATTTCCACATCCTGGATGTTTCCAGGAATTTTAACCTTTGTCTCTCTCTTTTGGCTTGAAGCTCCAAGTCACATTCGGGAAGAAGCTAATAAAGTTCATATATTAATCCTGATATTTCTTGTCTCTCTCCTCCCGTCTATCTTTCTGGTTTATTCGTGCATTCGCATATTTTTCGCGGCAATGAAACAGTGACGACTATCGGCCGAGCACATGACTCAATTGAGATTTAATGAAGGAAATGGAGCCGAAAGTCGACGAAATCAGTCGCGTAGACAACGTGAACGTTCCTCGACTGTCAAAGTCCTTGGTGCTGTTATAGTATTTTTTGTACTTTTTTGGATACCCTCTCTGTATCGCGCCGTGTGTGAAACGTTTTATTTTTGTAACGTATCTGAAGCTTTAGTAACGTCCTCGCGGCTTCTTATTTTATTGAACTCGGGAATAAACTTCGCTGTTTATGCGTTCTTGAAAAAGGATACCCGGAAAGAATTGTATTACGCATGCAAAAGGCCAGCGAGAAGATCGAGGGAAAGCATCTTGTTGGTAGAACGATCGTCTAGAGCCAGCAGTGAGTCGAATCGAAGCTCCATAAAAGTGGCGCAATGAACTGAGAAACTACAAAAAAATGGCAGTGGTTGAACAAGATACTTAATTTACTCGTGTTTTTATACTGAGAATCATTTTTCGCATAATTCCAAGCCTTCGTTAGAGTGCCTATGAACGATGGGACTCCGAGAAAATGATATTTTCAAAAGTATGGCAAAGTTATGCCTTTAAATTAACCCTTTCGAAACATGGGATCGTAATTAATGCCTATAAATCTATTAATACTTCCTTCAGGGCGCTCGCACACCCCTCTCAGTCTTAAGAGAGAGAAAAAAATGAAGCTACGGTCTGTTAAATTAGCAGCTCTACACATGCAAGCGGGGTGATTCCTTCGGCACTGTCCTGTTAAATGCAGGTGTATTGTATGTATGACCCGTGAGTCTTGATATCTCAAACCAACAAAGTAAGGCTTGTGCTCCTTTAACGATATATCGGACAAGTCAATGAAACTGATTTTTGAGGTGAAAACGGTGGTCTTAATCAATTTGCAAGGAATCGCTTTGCGGAAGAAAAGCAAGATCGTCTTCTTTTAGGGTCAACCATTTCAAATGCAAGGTGTCGATTGTAGTTTCCCAATACGGTTCTGAAACACAATAATTGTTTGGAATCAGTTGTCACTACCAGACTTCTGTTGGTTGACAAGTTGAGGGACGACAACACGGCGGCTGGTTTTCGTCCATTTCTAACTTTCCTTTCTCCGGAACTGTGGCGAATGCCGATGAACTTAAGGAGTTGAAAGTGCACTGATCAATTAAGATCGACTATCTTACGTCAACGACGCAGACTTCTCATTAGGAATTTGCTTGGAGGTTTCTCTGCACAGAGGATCCGCAATTATATCCAACTACAACTGATAAGTCGAGAAAAGAGATTATCTCTTGGTCGAGAAAGTTACGATTTGTATAATCATGACCATGAGGAAACAGCCTTCCCATTTAAATGATTCGTTCTGAAAACTTCATACTCTTTGGATCGGGGGAACTGAAAGAGAAACTCATCAGAAATAAGTAGCTGAGATCAATGCCATCAGAATCCAGTTTCCAGTCCCTCAAAAAAAGAAAAAGTTAACGCAATACTTATTCTAACACTTTAATAAGTAATAATATTCATCTTCCCTGATATATGCAATAGTCTTGTTTGTTGTATCTTCGAAGGGCAGTATTCGAAATGTAGTTAATCTGTTTAGTTAATATACAAAAATTTTCGTAGAAAACTATCGACATGATCGACATGGCCTTATAATTAGAGAAGGGACTTGCCCGAAGGGACATAGGCAGGATGCTGAATTCCTCCTTCTGAGAACAATAAATAGTTATTTGATTTTGATAATTTGTTTTAAACGTTATGGTTTACCACCTTTTCTTATTGATTCAGCTGCTAAGTTAAACCTGAGTTTTTTTCTAAGCAGGGTCATTTACTAATTAAAACTTAGGAGTACTTTAAATCAAAAAACAACACAAAATGAGCGGATAATTTGATATAGTACTCATAGTTTACATTTGCTAGTTATCTTAATAAGAATCCTGCCAATTAAAGAAAATGGCTCAATAATTTGTAGTGCTAGGTGACAAAAATGAAAATTTCATTAGTATGAAAAGCACACTCACCTTAATCAAATCACTTTAAGTTTAGATACGAGGAATAGTGAAGACAATTCCTAACCATGAAGGTGCCCTTATCCATAATTTGTTTGGTGTTGCTTTTGCTTCAACGTGGTAAGTGTTTCGTACCAGGGACTTAAAGTGGCAAATTAATGGTACCAATATTAATAAGAAGGAAAAAAGATGGCCCCTGATTTACAGGCCAAGAGCCTTAATGGTTGCCCCCCCAGATTTAGACTCAAAATTATGGTCTTTCAACACAAGCATTTGTAAATTCATGATTTCTAAGATGCATCGGTGCCATTTTCGGTTACCTCTTCGTTGGACCAATAGATTTCTGATGTAAAACGCAGAATGCTTGATGAGATAATTTCTGTAGAATTGATACAAACTTTGGGTAGCACCTTTTTTTGGACAAAAAACTAGGGACCGGATCAATTACTCATTTTCACATGTTCCGATATGTTGCATTAGATAACACATAAGAGTCAAGCGTGGCTATAATGGGTTTTAATACCGTTTAACACCATCATCTGGAACTTGGAGCACTTATGACAAAAATTATAATGAAAAGCACTGAATACATATTTAAACTAGTCGAAATCTTGTGGGTCAGTTGCATCTTGTGTACCAAGATGAACCAAAAGACGAGTATTAAGTGATTTTAATCACTATAGGAATCCAACTTTTCAGAATACACCGTCCCAATTGTTCTTTAGTTATGCCGTAGTATTTCAAATGTTTCCTAATTAGTTTTGCTGCTCCTTAGGCAATTCCTTGTTTCTAAATTGATTTGTTGATGGTTGCTTCTGATTGGCTGTTGTAAAAAGCTTTGTCACGGTATTCCTCGCTCAGTCATATGGGCTCCTGTACATATCTTAACTGTAGGTGATTTCAATTCTGTAGGAACTCTATCTCATGGATGCGTCATTAGTATTGCATTGCTTCCATGATCAGTATACCACAGCCTGTATAAGGACTTTTTGGATTAGTAATTAATGCCATATTTTTCTGGACAAGTATCCAGAGGAAACAGTCTGAGAAGTACTACTTTGATGTACGAATCATTTTATTATTTCGTTACACGAAGGTGAATGTTTGTCGTGCTATGAATGCTTGGAATCTTCCTCGTGGGGCCAGTGCACGAAGCATCAGGAACCTCGTTATTGTGAACCCGGATGGAAATGTGTGATCATGAAAGAGAAGGCGGAGGGTAAGAACGAGTACTACTACCGAAGAACGTGCAGTGAAGAGTCAGTGTGTAAAGAATTCTGTAAGGACAAACGGGACTGCTTCTACTCTTGTTGTGACAGCGATAACTGCAATAAGGGGGAAATCTGAGGAAATCACTCCAAGTTAACTCAACACATGCATCAGTTTTGGATATGATATCAATAAAAGGATTTACCTGTTTTGGTTTGAAATTTTAGCTGTAGCGAATGCTCAATACTACTGAGAGAAAAACTCCCGAAAGGGATTTCACGGTTTCGAATATTTTATAGGTCTTTCACTTTTACGTCGATTATTTGTCGCTTTTTTTCAGACCAACCAGTTGTACACTGGTGAGTCACTGAGGTGAAAATGTTAAATTTAAAGCGGCTGGCGAATAAAGGGGAATTTTTTGAGTGTAGAATTAATTAGCACGGACTCAAAGTCGTAATTCGCTGAAATTTCCGCTTGGGAAAAGCAAAACTAGATTACAATTTTGGCACTCAGAATAACTTACAAACAGAGGTCAACCCAGTAGCTCAGGGCTATACCTCGCAATGGCCGACTTAAAGAGGGTTTTCCACTGCCTGCCTCTGGCTCCACCTCGGGAGTTTTATGCTTTTTCACAGATGAAAAATAATGTTTTAAAGAATGGTTTTGAACTGATTGACTCAGATATCGGAAAATATTGCCTGAGGAGGAAAACAAAGCGTAAAAAGAAAACGATTGAAATTGCATGTCGCATATTAGAAAATTACAGCTCAACGAAAAAGAATCAGCGTCATGTCAAATGAATAATCTCGTGACTTTCCTTTTATGTAAGGCGAACAAAGCATCTTCGACAGAGGCTCATCGTGACGTAAAAAAAACACAAGAAAAAAACTAGGGACTTTGAAAAACAAAAGAGATATGTGGAATAATATATGTTCTTAAAAGTATCTTTAATTCTGTCTTGAAAAAATAATGCTTTCCTGTTTTATTTCTTGTGAAAAAAAAAAAACACCTTTTAAATTCAGGTAAAAACAAGAAGCGAATTAGACTAAATAGGGCCAAGTAATTAAATTCGAAATCAAATTTACTTGAAATTAAGAACTGAAGTAAAATGATTAATCAGGCAAACTGAACAAATAAAAGAGAAATTTGAATAAGCTAATTGAAATATAAACCATCGAATTTGACTTCTGTTGGAGGAAACCGTGAATGAGTTCAACGCGCCTTTCCAGTTGACTTTTTCCCGAAGTTTAATATACGAAAAATCGGCCGTTTTGAGCCGAGGAAGTTGATGAGAGAAGCGAGATATAAATACTGCAAATGTCTTGTTTTGCATTCGGTAAACAATCGCATCAAAAGCAAATATATAAGGTAAATGATTAAACCAAATGATGATATGAGATTTCTTCCTCTTTCTATTTACATTAGAGACTGACAAATGTGCCATATATTTGTTCGGATTTTTTTCTTTTAAGAATTTCGCAATAGCGTAGGTTCCCTTTTTATTGGAGGTTGTTTTTTTAGGTTTTTTCTTTTACGTTTTTCGGCTCTGTCTCATTTTGTGTCGGGACTTACGACTGAATTAGAAAATAGAACAAAATTTTTAACAGAAAAGGGATCTGCGAAGCAAAATAATTTGGTAATGTTAATATTGGAAATGTAGAATTAACGAGCCCTTTCAAATGTTTGATTTTGATGCATGGCGAGAGTCGGGAAATTGCTTAAAAAGACTAAGAATGAAAAAACGAGATAAAAGATATATATATTGTAAAGGAGGACAAGCATGATATTTATTTCAGGCAGTGTATTAATTATAAGTAAATTTTGATTCAAGCTGACTAGCACAGTTTCTTAATCGAAGTGAACAAGAAACGCGGAACTTTAAAAATTGCCTCGATAGGCGTTTTTGTTAAAAAACCTGTGCTGTGGTTCGGTTAGGAGATGGTGAATAGATCAAATAGACAATAAAATACAGGCTTAAATAGTAATTTACTTTGTATAGATTAGTTTGCATTTAAAGACGACCTACTCTATGAAGAGCCAACGAAAGCTGAGGATTGAAGACATTGAAGAGTACTTGATTTTCATCGTTTTAATAGTAAACTTCTGTCGATGTCATTTTCTGTTGGACTTCAATTTTTCTGTTATTAACGCTGTAGCAAAAACTTTTTTGATTGAAATGTGTATGGCTTTGACATTTCCGCATCAAAAACCGGCCGCTTTCCAAGGTAAATATTTATCTCCGGTTTTTTTACCTACGATTCCTGTTTGATAAGCAATCACCGCAAAAAAGAAGGAGATTAACTTCATCGTGGATCGTGCCATAAAAAATGGCTTGACCAGATTTCATAAAAAAATGTATTCTAGAGGAGATTCAAAACAAGATGCATATCTTTCTTTTTTACCGTCACATTCAACCGTTCAACTGATCAACTGCCTCAAACCTTAAGGCGGCGAAATACGAGATACAAAAACCCTCAACTTGGCGCGCAACATTGTTTCGTTGCAAGTTTTGGTTGATGTTTCTCGTTTTTCACCTTGCGTGATCAACTTGTCTCGCAACAAAAACATCTGTTGCAGGTTGAAGAAATTTATGGCTCAAAGTTGATCCGCGCTCTACTTTTCGCAACAAATTTCTTCAACCTGCGACAAATGTTTTTGTTGCGAGACAAGTTGATCACGCAAGGTGAAAAACGAGAAACATCGACCAAAACTTGCAACGAAATAATGTTGCGCGCCAAGTTGAGGGTTTTCGTATCCCGTATTTCGCCGCCTTTACCGTGTTTCTGTATTTCACGTCAAGGTAAAAAAACAAAAAAAAAACAAAAAAAAAATCAGAATCTCCAATATGTTACTTTCCGTAAATATAATAACTGAAGGTGTTTTTTTTCTTGTCATGTTATCTATTAACATCTGAGAAGATCAGTCTTTTGATCGCAACTTTCGGTGTTATATGTACTAATAGTACCCTCAAAAGACTAACGTTTCCTCTCATCATGGGGGAAAGCCGAGCATAAAGAATGTATTAAGATCAGTTTTACTAATGAATTGAGGATTAAAAGTTTGTATGCGTGTTGTAAATTTCGTTCGCTTTTCTTTATTGGTGGTTATTGTACTACGTTAGGTCGAAAAATAACAAGTTAGACGACATATAAAACTTTCTTATTTTTTTCCAAAGGAAGGTTTGCCCAAATGACTACCAACATCAAAGAAATGGCCTTAAATTTTACTCTTTATTTTGACAATCTGACGAGAAAAATCCAAAATCGGAAAAAGTGGCAAAGTACCCACGTGATTTTGGATCTTGCGAGGTTTAATTTCGCTCGTAACAGTATCTGGCAATGGCCCCGTTGTTTTCATGATCTTAACTGGAAGAAATCCTCGCACCGCTTGTAACTACATCGTCCTGTCCCTGTGTTTGGCAGACATATGTGTTGGACTACCTCTTCCTCCGTGTTCTTTCATCTGCCGGCAGGAAGGAGTTTCCTGTAAAATGGCTGTATTCTTTGCGGCTTTTAACGCGATATCAGCCATTTCAGTCGCCAATACCTACTTGTTTACTTTCGACAGATACATAGCGGTTGTGCATGCTCTGAAGTACCGCACGTTCATTAGTCAACGCAAGTTCTCCTCCTGACACTGAGTAGATGGGTGTTTCCCGCAGCAAATGCCTTTCTACCACCCACATGGCTTATAACCACACCTCTGACGAAGATAAAAATCAAGCGAAGAAAAGCTACACCGCAGCTGTGTTAATACTTTTCGAATTCCTACCACCTATAATTTTGGTATTTATGTACTTAAAAATACTCCTCACGACTCGTGCACTCAGGAGAAAAAATGAGAAGCAGCTTGCTCAACTGAGCTTCAACCAAGCTTCCAATGATAACCTTATACCAAATTCACGAATAAGACTTCAAGAGAGGTCTGTACGAGTTGTTGAGGCTATGGTTATCCTGTCTGTGTTGTGCTGGACGTTTGATATCTATAAGTCAACTGCAGGCATTATTTGGAGTGTTCGTCGAAAAAAAATGTATTAGTCCAAGTTTCCTTGCTTTTCATTTATACAAACTCTGCCGTTAACCCCGTTGTATATGCGTTGTCGAAAAGAGACATTCGAACTGAGATACGCAGACTAAGGCGATGTCATAACCAGTAACTTGCTATTGTGGTTCGAGATTTGCGTTTTCGTCTTTTTTTTTTTTCTTTTTTTTTTTAATTTTTTTTTTCACTATTGTCAATTGACTATGTTTGTTAAATTTATTAAGAATAGAAAGAATGTTTTGCTCTTCTATTTTTCTGTACTATTTTGTTACTACCTAAAATTTCTTTATTCTCCTCACAACTTTTCGCTGCCGGAGCAGCTTAAACATGAATACCTTGATAAACAGGTTTTCGTTTACTTCACAAGCTGAAATTGTTGAAGCGGCTCTGGAAACCTATTAAAGAAAATTCCTTCGAAAAGAAAACTTATCTAACATTTTTATTAAATTGGATATATCAACAAAGTTGGAATGACCACCATAACGATTACAAAAGCTGACGTTTCGAGCTTTAGCCCTTCGCTCCGACGAAGGGCTAACGCTCGAAACGTCAGCTTTTGTAATCGTTACGGTGGCCAATTTACCATTTCAACTTTGTTGATATATCCAAATTATTTCGTTACTCCCACCGACGCAGCCCCAAACAGTTTCTTTCTAAACTATCAGCCTTTATTTTTTTTTTTAAATTTTCCTTAAATGAATCATACCAATGCCTATTTCTAAAACTGCAATAAAAACGATAGGTTATCGTGCTTGCTAAAGGGATATGATGGGTCAGTGTTACCCCATTTATGCTTCTACTGCTACTCATCATGCATGTTATTTCAGTGGTATCCAATACATTCTGCGGTAGCTGGAAGTAGGGGTTTTTAAAGTAAAAATTTAAAGCCAATACGTAAGAACAAGAATGGGGAAAAACTTCTCAGAATTTTTTTTAATCGAATTACTAACACGACAAACGCAACCTGTCTACTTTGCATTTAGAATTCATATGCATGAGCCACATAATTTTTAAATTATGTATATATTAAAATATATATTTTAGAAGATAATAAAATAAAAATAAAATAAAATAAATAAAAAAAGCCAACACACAATAAACGTCTTTGAGACATTATGAGGGCACTTATTCCAATCTTATACAGAAAATAGCGATGTTATAGTTTTTCAAATGAGGATCCGTGGTATTTTTTAAAATGTTAACTGTCCTCAAAACGAAAAATGAAATTCAGGCACTTCAGTTCGTTAGATCCATTTTTTTCTATAATATGATGTTTACACGCACTATGATGGCAATATAGACGCCATGGGAATAAGAAATCATTGTTTTTAAAATATGCGCAAGGAAGCTATGTAAATACTAAGTCAACAGAAAAGTATGATTTGAGCAAACACGTTGTCAAAACATGTAAAGGGTTTCTAAGAAACATATTTTGAATTAACACACACTTTAACAATGAAAACGTCTCTCGATGAAATTCAGCTTTCTCAAACTGAATCTAAAAAAAACTTGGATTCAAATTTGCTCGAGTATCGATTTTGAACAGCTCCCCAATCATAAACATTATAAGAGCTTTCCTAGGGAGGTGATCTACTCCAAAGGAAAGTTTCCAAGGGAATACCTTAAAAGTATCCTTAAAAACGTTGAAGAAGTAATAATAATAGCATTCTTTATCTTTCTTCACCTTATATTCTGCGAAATCTTTGTTCCCCGAGATTTCGGTTAAGTATCAATGCAAATCTGTAATATAGTTTTCCTCAGTTTCATGTTGGTCTCAAATTGTTTTCCGTCTTAACTCAAATATACCAAGTGTCAGTATTTTGACATGCAAGAAACACTTTTATGATAGAAAACCGCTTGAAAGCATAAATACAATTAAGCGTCTTTTGCTATGTCAGGTTATTCTTCATGAAATGCTATCAAGAGTACGAAGATGTAACTTATATAGTTTTCATATTTAAATTTGTTTCAAATTCTCCTCCGCTCGTTGCTATTCGTAGTTGAACGCTTTTCGCCGTTCTGTTCTTTGATCTTCCGGCTCCAACACTTCGTAGATACAGATTTCATAGGAACAGAAGCACACGACAAAAGGAAGAGGGCGCGGAGAAGAACACCCTTGGAAAAATTTAAGATTTATTGAGTAACACCCTAACTGTGTGATACACATAACTGTAACAGTGCTGGTCGTCTAGTAATACAGTGACTGTCCAGCCAATCGGGTTTCCGTCCTCAGTTCTTGCACTTGAATGTCATTCCCTTTAATGAAGGCAAACGTGATATTGAGCTCCCTTCTGATATCTTGTTTAAGAATAGCATACACTAATGGATTAGCTGCGGTATTGCCCACCAAAAAAATCCTCGAGGCGTACACCATTGAGAGCGGTACAATGCACAAGGAGAATCTGTCGCAAAGACCTCTGTAGATAGTGAAAGACCAGCACAATATGAAGAAGAAGATTACTGCGCCAAGAACAAGAACGGAATAAGACTTTCGACTCCCTTGTCTAACATTCCGTTGGGGAATTGCCGAGTTGCTGGTGACTTGCTTTATTTGAACTCGGTGATGCCTTGAATGCTTTAGGGTAATGCGCGATATTTTGGCGAAGGCAAACAAAAGACTAACACAAGGTAAAACGGCAAATGTAAATATTTGTATAACTCTGAAGATCCTTTCGGCGTCTTTGGCTTTGGTAGTTGAGATCAATGTAATGCAAAGAGATGGTATGAGATATAGAAATATGGGCAGCGTCCATCCTATAAAAATAGTTGATGTGATTCGTTTAGGAGACATTAAGACGGGATAGCGCAAAGGAAATACCACTCGACAAAATCTATCTCCTGCCATTGCACACACGTTCACCACCGACGTACAAAGAAAGTAATTGCAGAAGTTCCAGAATATGAGAGAGCACTGTACACCTAATAGATCACAAATGAAAGCTCCCGGTATTGTCGTGATGGATATTAGTAAATCCGAACACGAGAGGGACAGAATGAAGCTATTGGAGGTTGTTTGCAGCCTTCGACGAGTTGCAATTAAGAAGATGACTACAGAATTACCAACGATTGCGACCACTCCAATCATACCCAAGATGATCCAAAACCAAACCTCATCTTTCTTTGAACCTTTAGCAGGAGAAGTCTGCGTTGCATTAACAGATTCGTTCCTTATATCCATGAAACTCAAATGTTTTGATCACTTCAGTTCAATTCTTACAACCCAAAAAAATTGGTCGCTTTTTAGTCGTGGACGTTTTAAGATCAAGAGAAGCCTTTGCGCGCTGGTATCTGATAAGTTCGTGATAACTTATACACTTATGATGCACTATACGCGAACTTTAAAGTCTAACGACTCGTGGCTGTGTATTTTTATATCAACGCCCCACGTAGAAGTCATATATTAAAATTTTATAGATAGCGCTTCAATCTTTTCATTGGTTCTCCAGACAGTTTTCAGCATTAATTGTTGACGTATGTCAATTTATCTCTAAACTTTAGATTGCCTCGGAAATAAGAGCAGCTGCTTCCCTTGCAACATTTTCTGAAGAACATGCAAATAAGGTCATTTATTTTTTTAAGTTTACTTTTGTGTATGTCTTTGCCGCCTATGACTGAGATTGCTCAATAACGAATAGAAGTTAAAAAGGAAAAAGCATCAATGTAGATAAATTCAAACAGTTAAATTTCCCATTTATCTTATTTGTCTAATGTTCATTCGAATGCTAATTTCCATGTATTAACTTCCAAACCTGACAAGCTTTATCGTGTTAAGTCTGAAAGCAACGTTAATGATGAAAAACGGCAAAATTGGATCAGTCGAGTTCAAAGAAAAGGCCACAGAAGAAAGCAATGATTTCTTCTTTCAGTTAAAGTTTACAAAGCTAGGTCGGTGGCAGTGCTTAATATAAATATTTATATGCTAACGGAAATAGTGGGATAAGCCGGTCACGGAACAAAAACGTGTCATTCGCCTGTTGTTTAAATTCAAGAAGTCAAATACATTGACACACAAACAATTTTTTTCTCTTCTTTTTCTTTTGTTTTTTCTTTTAGCCAAGCACTTTGCTACGCGGCGCACTCACAGCATTAAGCCCTCTCGTTGCAAGCAGTCTAAGATTTTGAGGTGTGCACGTACCCTTTATTAAATCTTAATTTGTTTCCTTTCATGCATTAAAAACATTTGTTCCTGAAAGAAGAGCCCACAAAAACTCTCCGGTTACATTGAAAGAACTATTTTCACTCTCAATGATAAAAGGAGACAGCCTGTCACTTGAGAGATAACTTCGAGAAACAAGTAGGTCGAAGAGACCGGAGCGCCTCGCGAAAAGAAAAAAACATATATATATTTTTTTATTTTTATGATCAGAACAAATACTATTTTTCCATGACAAGAAAAGGGTGTTGATACATTATTCAAGATCGTCTGTTTAAAATACCCTGTGATTGTTCACAAATTCATTCTAAGCTGCTAAACGTGACCAATCGGAAACATTTGAAAAAATACAGACGGATTTGGCGTGTCAATCGTTTTGGTGCCCTTGACATTTTACTTGTTATAGTTTTTATATTAAAATCGGAAATAAACCACATGACCGTTTTTTGCTGTTTCGTTTTTTTGCTAACTGTCTCATATATGATGGGGGAGATTTTGCAGTGCACTCAATTGAAAAAATGTACTTTTTTACCTCCAAGATTCCTTGTCATAAATTCATCGATCAAAAGCGAATTTTTTTGCAGTTTACAAACCGTTTTCAAACTTCAAGCGTAAATGATTGGGTTTAATGAGCTGGGCGAGAAACTGAGGTGAAAATAAAAAACTAATCGATAAATGTAGCCCATCACGTACGAACAAAACCAATATGCGCATACAGCGTTATGATAATCAATTTAATAATGATCCAATAAAGTTGAACAAAGCTCTGCCCGATTTCTTTCAGCGGTGATGTGTTTAATTAACCAACGCCTCCAAATGATTTAACGATAATACAAACATTTCGTGCCAGAAGCTAGATTTTTTAATTTCACACGCCAACGCACGACGGAAATACTTTGTTTTTTTGGTGCAGTTATAGTTAGTGTTCTTTCCTTCTCCTTTTGCACTGTTACTAAAAAACCTTTCGAAACGTTGGAGCTGCAGATAAAAATCTGATTAACTGCTTTATCTCATCTCGAATATCACTCTTTAGTAAAGCGTCATGGGTAATTCTTTTGTTCTTTTTTATGTAACCATAACGATTTCCCATGGGCAGTTTCACTGTGGGGACAGAGGTCATACTAAAAATACAGACTTCCCGTGGGTAAGGTCTCACTTTCCCGTGGGAAAAAGGTCTAGTGTAACCACAGCTATTGAAAGTCACAGCAGAATTAAACGAAAGAAATAGTATTGATGTTTGGACAAATAGTAGCGAAACTGTACAGGCGTTGTAATGATTGCAAAATGCCCTGTAAGCTGACAACACCCAACGTATTTCAAACATGATTAAAACAGCAAAAAAAGCCTGAACAATTGATTTTTCAATTTTCCTTTTCCGCTGGGTTCTGATGTCCAAATCAAAGCTAATAGCTATTTCTAAAGCTTTTATCCGGCGACTTTGGTTTCTAATAATAGAATATAGGTGGGTTAACGGTTAAAAGCATAACAATGCAAGGGAGAATTTCAAATAAAAGCAGAACTATCCCCGAGTATATTTGATTCACTTGCTCTGCTCCATTAAACGTACTTTGGATGTGTCTTGCACAGCTGGCAAACTCCATTTGAACTTCTTCCAACATAGAGGCATTAGCGTTATCATGATGGGCAGAACCCACGCCAAGGCAATCAGTCGTAGTGCCATTGAAATATCCATGGAAGACGCATACCGAAGAGGTCTTGTAATATCTATGTAAGGATCAAAAGTCGTGATGCAGAGGTTCCCGACTGAAGCATACAGAAGCAAGTTGTCGAACATGACGAGTAGTTCGAAATTAGCACCGTCGATCCAGAACGTGTAGGCGATGTAGGATGGTGCCACAATCAGTCCGACGGAGAAGATCTGCAATCGATAACGACAGGATGAACCAATTTGGCGTCACATGAAGTCTTGTGCGATTAACGATCAAGCATATGACGAGAGAATTTTTACAGATTGTTACAAAAGCAGTCACAGAAACTAGTGTCCAGTACCAATAGGATTCCTTTCCTTCAACAGTGTTGGTTGCTGACATGGATGCAAATTTGTTTTGATGATTTTTATCACCCACGTAACACAACGAAATGAATAGATGATATTAATTAATTACATCAGAAATATTTCTGGTCTCTCAGTATAAGAAAACAAGGGACAATGTGGGATTATTCTCAATATACATCTATGTACAAAATGTAGAATCTAATAAACAAAAAAAATTGAAAACTAACTGAAATATTTAATTGAAACAAATCCAATATTTCAATAGCATTGTACACGGTATACTGAGTTGAAAGCAATCTTTCCCATACCCATTATGTATGGGATAAAGTTAACAAGAAATGTTGATAAATTGACTTCTTTTACGGTATAATTGTGATCAGATCCTACAACGGAAAGGAGGAAGCTACTCGAATTTGCCTCGCTCACTCAGTAAGGCTTGGTAGCTCAGTTGGTAGAGGCACCTAAATAGTGTTTGGCACAGGTTCCAATCCCGTCGAAACCTGAATATCAATTTTCAGGCTTCGTTTCAACAATTTCTTTTAATGAAGCTTACGTCCAAGGAACATTTTTTACTTGATTTCTATTGGCAGGTTAACTGAAATTTAATCAGAGAATGTTTAGAAATACATTTGATGATAAAAATTAACGGTAAAAAACTACGACGTTTCGAAGTCTGCATGACCTCATTATCAAGTAAAATGTTAAAACTGATGTAAAATTGTAGCTCAGAGATTATATACAAATAAAATGTGATAACTTCATTAGAATAATGAGCGTTCATTGTTATTGGTGTCAGATCGTGCAGTATATGTTTAAATAAATACTTTTGCACGTATTGAGTCAGACTGCGTGTTTAACTTTGGTTTTTGTTCGCGAATGAATAACATTTCGTGGATTAGGCAGTCCATTTTCCCGCGGCATTTCTTGAGAACGGAAAACATTTTCCCCAGGCCAGCGGACGCTACACCGTGGGCCTCCCTCAGATGCTTGCCAATGACAGAGGCTTTATGTTCTTCTATGCGTTGATGAAGATGGCGTGTGGTATAACCGATATAATCCGCATCGCACGAATCACATTTAAAAGTGTAAACAACGCATTGGTGGTTAATTAAAGCGGGCTTCTCTTCTTGTATCTTGAGCTTTCCCTCGATCTTACGACTCGTGAAAACTGGTTGTAGGTCAGTTCCGATTTTCCGGCCAAGATCTTTCAGCTGATGTCTTACTGTGTCGGCCGATTTTTGGTCTTTAAATGGTAAAGTTATTCTGACAGGTTTTTGTGTAGCCGCGTCAAGTTCAGTTGGGGTTTCGTGACGGCTTTGGATCGTAGAACTCGTGTACCAGGCGATAGCTGAGTTGATGAGTTTCACTGGGTACTTAAGCTTAGTAAACATCCGNTTTAATCAGAGAATGTTTAGAAATACATTTGATGATAAAAATTAACGGTAAAAAACTACGACGTTTCGAAGTCTGCATGACCTCATTATCAAGTAAAATGTTAAAACTGATGTAAAATTGTAGCTCAGAGATTATATACAAATAAAATGTGATAACCTCATTAGAATAACCACACGCCATCTTCATCAACGCATAGAAGAACATAAAGCCTCTGTCATTGGCAAGCATCTGAGGGAGGCCCACGGTGTAGCGTCCGCTGGCCTGGGGAAAATGTTTTCCGTTCTCAAGAAATGCCGCGGGAAAATGGACTGCCTAATCCACGAAATGTTATTCATTCGCGAACAAAAACCAAAGTTAAACACGCAGTCTGACTCAATACGTGCAAAAGTATTTATTTAAACATATACTGCACGATCTGACACCAATAACAATGAACGCTCATTATTCTAATGAAGTTATCACATTTTATTTGTATATAATCTCTGAGCTACAATTTTACATCAGTTTTAACATTTTACTTGATAATGAGGTCATGCAGACTTCGAAACGTCGTAGTTTTTTACCGTTAATTTTTATCATCAAATTAACTGAAATTTACTTCATTAAATAATTGAGGTCTAGAATGTTAGAAATTGACCTTTTCATTATCTAGGATGATAGATAAGTGATTTGCCGGAGTCTCTGCCAGAGTTTGAAGTTTGGACCAAAATATGAGGTGTTAGACATTTCCATCTTTGAAAAGTCTAAGAAGAAAAAGGTTTGAAATGATTTAGTTGTAGCTATGAAATAGCCGATTTTGCAAATCAAGCAATATGTGTAATCTCGTGACCACGAACACCATTCGGATATTTTTTGAATTGTATATATAAATGAACCACTGACTAAAGTTGTCACATCATATGGAGAAAATTTTGTTGACACGTTATTAAAATGTTCCATTGGACTTCACTATCGTTCAGACACCCCTCTGAGCTCATAATTAATTTTCGTCACCAACTTTTCGTCGTCATTGTTCGAAGAGAAAAAACTATGAAATTGAGAATCGCTTCTATTCAGTCAGTGGCTCAATTTATACAAGGTGACTGGTCTACAGATCCCGGACTTCCGTAATCGTGGCTTAGAGCCGGTCAGCTTATGCCTTTGTTTTTTGTTGTCGTTGTTGTTTTTTTTTTTTCAGTTGTATGAGGATGACCTAAAATCTCGCAATCAAAATGTAGTTTCGCTTCTTACTGATGTCTGGATGCCGATCGTGGGGCTAATCCTACAATAATTGATAATCAGTAATCAGTCCGAGCCCACACAGAAAGCGTTAAGAATGGTTAAACCTTTTGGATGCGTTTTATTATTCCCTAACGATCCTGGTTTTGAGAATTATCTTTTAATACTTTGTTTGCCCATGCATGTGTTGACCATCCCTTATTTATTCATCTATTTGTTTTCTCGGGTCGGAGTAGGAGCTATAGAAGGCCAACCATTTTATGAAAAATTGAGAATAAATAATTTCCCGATCGGTCTTGAAGCAGATCTCAAAAACCTTTGATGAGGAATCGCCTCAAGATGGTATGCTTATCTTATCTTGTACCCTCACACTACATCAGTAGCGTTACTAACATTTACCCGTCGATTGTGGTGCTTCTAGCCAAACTTTTGGTTTCATATAAAGTCTAAATCAAAAACAAAAATCTGGAACAGAAAGCAATAGCTCATATTCGATTTCATGAAGCCATACAATCCACGTCGATCCACTGACCTACACTGAACTCAATGAACCCAGTAAAAACCATTACTGTGAATTATTTAATGTCGATCTACAGTCGGTGAAGACGTCTTTTTTTTTTATTTTTTTGTTTCGTTTACATATCAAACACACCATCAACCAGAATTGTATGGAGAATAAAACTACACATCGTAATTAAGCAGGTGAAAGTCAAACATTCTCTATCCGAAATATTCAAACTATCTTGAGACGTTGTTGGCATATACTCAGTTATGACTCACCCGCTGTTGATATCGGTTTTGTGGTGCCAAACGTTCGGTTTTGTGTTATCAAACGTCAATCGGGGTCCTCTCGGTTCCGTTGATAGGAAGTCGTTTGAGGTCTATTTCCCTTAACGGATAGGATTTATCGTAAGTTCTTAGAATTAATTTATTTTCACATGAATTAACAAATGGCAAAATTCAGATAAATGCGGTCACTTAATTTTAACGAAGCAAATTCTCATAAGGTGTCGATATTATCCCTTCAAAACAGTATAGTAAAATTGCGTCTAAAATTGTTTCTGAGGATAACCAAAATTAGGCACTTCTGGATTATTTTTTTTGAGTTCTTTTAACTCCTCGAGCCAAACACTTGAGATAAACAATTAATCGAGTATGCAAGGGACGAAGAGATTAGAAAGCTTTTATTAACATGTCACTTCTTAAGTCTCCTTCAGGTAGTGGCAAGAAACAAGTCATTATAATGTTGTGATTGGAAATGAACTTAAGGATTCAATATTATTTTTAATTTTCTTTGTCATTACAGCGATGGATCATTTTAAATAAAAAAGTGCAATTTAAGATAAAAATCTAAACTGCTAGTCGATTATGATGATGCTTCAAGTCTTCCAATAAAATTAGAATTCATCCCAAAACTTTACTTAAACACTTTATTTTCAATTGAATTGTGTCCAATTCATCTAATTGCAGTGATGTGGTACGCGGCTTCACTGAATAGAACACCTTGACTTACGCAAGTGGCACCTGTGCATCTAAATCGATTATTTCTAAGAGCAATATTTTTTAAAAAATGACTTTTCGCTGTATGCCTCGAAGCCATGTGTTTGGGTTGATAGCTTGACACTTAATTCTCACTGGATTTTATAAAATATTGGCTGTGGCTCACATTAAACCGTATTTCACTCAGGGAATTAAATCAAACACTGCTTTGGCTTAAAATCTGGGTAATTGCTTTGTGAAATTGAAAATATCATATTAATCTAACATAACGTCAAAAATCAAAAAACAAAAAGGCAAAAAGCAATAGGCCAGGTAGAGCTTAATAATAAGGCAAATCTAATTCTTCCTGGGAAAATTCTGCAACTTAATATAATTCCTCAGTACTGCAAAGCGCATCCTGTACTGCGCATAAAAATCACATAATCAAGCGATTAAGCGCGCGCGCATTTCGTGAACACGGTATTGTTTTTCAGTCAATGGACCAGGTAAACCGAGGTAAGGTCTTTTCCTCTCGAACGAGCACGGTCTCTTATATTTTCTATTGCATAATTTTGCGTATCTATCCAGTTTATTTCCAAGTGTAATTTTAGAAATCCTTGGTTACCCGCTAGCTACCATAAAATGTACCCGCGTGAACCGATGAAATGACGAGCGCGATAAGCAACAAAAAAGGCATAAATGTAGCAAGATTAGCCCATCATATCTCTTAATGCATTTAGGACAGTCATTACATTTAGGACAGTTATTACGATTGGGACAGTTATTAAAGTTAGGCCTTCTACACTTTCTGTTTTTTATATTCCATTTTTCAATAACAATGCAAGTTATTATATCATAATCAGCAGACTTTATTTCATATTCAGCTATTCATTGACTGTTTCTGAGAAGATGTGAGCGTCTCAAAGGGGAGATTGGCGTATGATAGTGCATTTTTTCCTTTTTGACGGTTGACGGTTACCCGGCAGATCATTCTTCTTCATTTTAATTTAATATCGAGTTTTTTTTTTGTTTACATTGTGATCTTTTATCGCTCGACAGCTCTTTCTTCCACTGTACTATCAATGTCAACGACGGCTATCAAAACGCTCGACATGATCTTAACTTGGTCGAACGGCGGGAATGGCGCGACGTGGCATGGTCAGTAATTATTTAACAATGAAGTAAGCTATTCTTAATGAAATATCAAAATATTTTCGAAACTTATTACAGACAACCATAGAACAATAACAAATGGTAAACACCACAGCGTACACTATTGAGTTATGGATGCACGCGGGAGGTTGCTAAGCACGAAAGAAGCGTAAGAGTCGCTCGAGGCGATAGCCGAGAGCGACTCTAGCTTCTTGAGTGCTTAGCAAACCTCCCAAGTGCATCCATAACTCAATAGTGTACGCTGTGGTGTTTACCATTTGTTTTATAACATAACATTGATACATTGTAGCTTAAGAGTTCCCTTTTATTTAACAACTCAAAAAACTAACAATAGTCTTTGCATTAAAAGCTAAAAATAGTCTTTGCATTTGCTCACGTCAGCAGCGTACACCCTAGGGCAAATGGGGGACGCTAAATTGACCAATCAGAGCGCGCGCCTAACTTTGGTTATGTTATAAAGGTATTTAAAAGAAAGTAATGCTGCAGCACATTCTGGTGATAGTGACATAGTTTACGCAGTGATTCATTTACCTGCGCGTTCCAAGACTTACATTAACCTTTATTTCTTACAGTAGTGTCAATGGTGAGGTATTTCCGAAACTAAGATTTAAGAGCACCCTTCTCACCTCAAATAATATTCTGTCTGAGCACTGCATTGACTACATTCCAAGATGCAAGAGATAAGGCTACCGTTCTTAAGACTTTCCGAAAGTTAGAACTACTCTTAGAAATCGGGTTAAAAAGTGAGATCTGCAAGACTTTTCAATTGTTTGATGGTCAGTGTTGAGCTACTTTTTTGAATTGATCTGTTTTGACGGTTGACGGTTAAATAGTATTGTTATTACCATTTACGATCTTCATTTGTTCTGTGGTTGCTTGGTTATTAAAGAGTCTGTTTGTTGAAGGTGTACGAGCTCTTCAAGGTGGCCATTTTCCTGCTTAATTCTGCCCGTAGATCGCTCTTCAACGAGATAAATACGATGGGATTCGTTGCAGGGTTCAATAACATCAACAGCCAAGTGACGTTGATCAAATCTGGTGATAGATTGCACAAGTCGAAGTAATTGCACAATGATACATACAGTGACAAAGCCCAGCACCCAAGAAAGATCGTTATTACTGCCACGGTTACTTTGATGGAGGATCTCGGCAGCTTTCGTCTCGGAAATCGTCCGCGAAATTCTTCTTTACCTCTCATTTCTAGCCTCGAAAGATACTTACCCTCAGATGAGGGTTTATCTTCTGACTCCGTATGCACCCTCGAGTTGCTTTTTCTGTATTTAAATTCTGCCTTTCTGGGAGGCTTTCTTAAGAATGTGTCCATCCTATTAAAGTTTACTTGACGCAGTTGAACTGTGGCTCTTTTCGACTGTAGCTGTGCTACTCGGATTATCTTTATATTCGCAACAGTTAACAAAATGCATGGAACAGCCACCATGAAAATGGTTTCTGTTATTGTAAAAATGCGATACCAAGTTTTCCTTGTTTCAGGCTCAGCGTAGAGCCAAAAGAAATGGAGGCAAAAGTTGAACAGCGGTACAAACCACGAAAGCGCAATAATCGTCACAGTGCAGCGGAAAGTCATGAAATTTGGATATTTTAGTGGGTAGGCAATGGCGATAAAGCGATCTGCTGTCATGGCACACAGGCTGTAAATAGACTCGTACAGGAAAAGTTCCTTAAAAGCACCTTGGAGATAAACGTCACATGCGCCTAACCTCTTACACGCAGTATCTGCGGGTGCTATGCTCAAGCCAACCATTAGATCACTCACTGCCAGGGACAAAATAAACCAGTTAGTTACCGTGTGTAATTTAGATTGCGTCACAATCAACCAAGCAACGACTCCATTCCCTGTTACAGCCACGAAGCCGACAGCTAGACTACTGCATATGTACCACGACATGACAGCTTTCAGAACTTTTAAGTTTTATCTAACCTGGAAAAACGTGGTTTGTCAACGTGTTGAATGAAGACTTTTTTGCTCAGCCGTTATGCCACCTTCTGCTCGAGTCAATCATATGATACGTCCTTAAGCCGCGAGTCTATTTTCTTTTTTAAAAAATCACAAATTTAAATATTCATTTGGCTTCAGAGATTTTTGCTAAATACATAAAGTTTAATTCATTGGTTAAAACACCTGCTAAAACAAAAAAATCTTTTTGGCCCCAATCCCAAGAAAGAAAGACAGCGCGCTGCACGTTTAACCATGCTTAGCAGCGAAAATTCCCCCTATCGACAGAAATTAAAAGGGAGAGTTGCAGCAAGAAAACTCGATAAACCTGAAGGTCAGAATTTCTTCAGTCAATAGACTGTTCTCACTAAACAACTAAGCTTTCAGTTTATTGTAAATAAAATCGACGTCTGTTTGTTCAAGCCTGACAGAAGCGTTATGAATGTTTTTTCTTTGTCATTTTCGCACTTCAGCTCAGATGTGACACATTCTGGCCTTTTCTCTTTTTACATTTAAGTAGATTGACTTGTAGAGCCCCCATCTGTAAAGTGGTTCATTTATGGGTGATTGATTGGATAAAGTGTTTTTGAAAGATGTATTACCATCCGAATTTACAAAACACTAGGGTGGACTTTGACGGCGATGCAAAAAACGATATTACGATCTAACGTTAACCTTCGATTTATTTTAGTTTAATTAAACGTGAACCTTTGTTACTTGTGTAGTTGTGCGCCTAATGGAGGAATAGTGTTGACTTTCAATAATTCGAGTTCACTTGTTTACTTAAATACATCGTTCTAATGCACAAACTGGGCGCCAAAAGAATTAATAACATTGATTCTGAGACTGAATTTTTTCAACCCGTGATTCTTCTCATGAAAACCTCATTGGAATATCAACAGAACATTCGAATATATCCTCACGCCAGCGATAATTAAAGTTTGAAATCACGCAAGGGATCTTTTCATAACAGGTTTTCCTTTCAACAATGTTTGATGGGTTCAAATACTGGCATTTTAGCTTTATCACTCATCTCAGTCCTTCAAACCTACATGGCGTAGAGAGAATAGCCGATGATTGAAGTTTTAGTTGACACAAGCTATCAGAAATAGTTCTTTTTTTTTCTTCACCATTACTAATGCTATCAATATCTATGGTTTAATCGTTATTATTATCATTGTCATTTTTGTTATCATTTGCATCACGTGCACAATTATTATCATCATAATAATTATTAACATTATTATTTTTATTATTTTATTGTTTTGTTTCTTTTGTAGCTTGCGAGTCCTTACCCATTTTGGATGGTAACATAAACACATCCTCAAGCATTGCGATTTTTAACAACTTGTCTCTTTATGGAATACTATATGGATATCAATGTTTTTTATTTATTATATTTTTTCCGCGTTCATTCAGTTCTATATATACATGTGCTTTCACTTGAGTTTTTGCTTGTTGGAAATTGTTTTTTTGAAAAGAAATATATTCGGCGTTCTTAGTATCTGACGTTTAATTGTAAGTAATCAAAATTGTTTGAGATTGTTCTGTCACGATGACTGTATTTTGGATTCGTCCTCTTATTGAGTGTTTTCTGACTGATACTTTTTCTCGGTCTTCAAAAACAAAACAAAACCTGAAAAACAGCAAACTAAAAAACTTGTCAATAACCAGGTATCATCATCATCAAGAGTGGTGAATAGTGTAAATACATGTTCATTACTTCATTGAAACAGAGGAAAAAGGAAAAAAACCCTGAAATTTGACTTACCGTTTTCATTGACGAAACATGAACATATTCACCAAACCAATGAGATGTAATCAGAGCATTCAAAAGGCTTAAAGATAAGACAAGCAAAGCAAGTGCAACTGAAGTTCATTTTCACCTGATCGAAAACGGTTGACCGTCTGTAACATAGAATGGCAAACGTGTCCCTAACATTTAACGTTACTTAATTTCCATGGTAACGATCAATATTCGTCACATATGCTGTGTTTGGTCTTCTTCAAGGTGAAAACAGCCGCCACACCCAATTATTGCATATCTTCAGGACTGAATTCAAGTTAGAAATGGCTGGTTCAGTTTGTGATAAGACTATCACACCATGATTTGAACCAAACCTAACATTTTGTTCGTGCAAAGCAGGGAATAATGCACCATGTTCATATAGTGTTTTTTTTTTTTATTCTACCCTTTTACGTAAAAATTCAATACATTTCCCTTTGTTAAGTGTAGTTCTATTTAGTTCGTTTAATTTGGAATACTTTTTTTTTACAAGATTTTCCCATGAGGACAACAAGCACAATAAGCGCTCTTCTTCAACCTTCAATCCCAAACACATTTCCGTCCACATATTGTTCCTCAACTCCCATTTTACCTCTGATTACTGCTGCTGCAGCGCTAAAAAAACGAAAATTGCAATTTCTTGCCAAGAAAAATGAATAATATTCATAATCGATGATATTTGAAAGAGAAACAACTGTGGCATAAAAAATTTATTTAGCTTTTAAAAGTGACATTTTAATCATGATCCTAACGATTTTTTATTTTATAAAATATCAAAGGCCACACACTGTTATCAGCAGGTCTCAATGGGGCGATAGCTGTTACAGTTAAGGGTTAAAGTTTTAGCCATTTTAAATTTAAGAGAAAAGTTTTTACGGTTAACTTTTTTTACAACTAACGGTTAACATGAGTCAGTTTTTAAGGCTGAACGGCTATTTTTTAATGCCGTTTTACAAGTAACTGTTAACCCCATTGAGACTCTATGTCTTATCAGTGACTCAGTCAAAAAGGCTTCATTTAACTTGAAATTCCATCTTTGATCCAAGGCCGCCTCCCTTGCAACACTATAGAACTAATTTCAATGTCAATACTTCACCAAGACTCTGTTTACTTTGACTCTAATTGAAAGGGTTGGAGATGAACTATTACCATACGGATGTCGGGTTAGAAATAAAATATTTATTAGTAATCTTGTATTGGTGATAACCGCGTTTGATTAACGAGTTGATCAAGGACCCCGAGTTGTTTTCTTTGAATTGAAAAGCCTGATTCTCGGGTAGCAAATTTAGTTTGATTTACGTGTGATGTATACATGGCAGCCTTCCTCATTACTTATTATGCTGGGTCAGTTATGTGAAGTGGTTGGTAAATATACAGAGGAAACCTATTTTTTTCCTCGGCAATGAAGGGAGACGTGACTTTCCCAAATTGGAAGTGGATAACAACACTTCAAGTTCACTGCCAATTTACTACATTATCCTTGCATCGCTTATTTGGTTCGTTGCAGTGTTTGGAAATGGGGTAGTGATCTATATCATTTGTACAAGAAGGCGACTCCATGTGGAAACTAACTACTTTATGGTGTCCCTTGCCTCTGCAGACTTGTTAGTAGGCTTGTTTCTTCCCACTTTCATCATCGCCTACTAACAAGTCTGCAGAGGCAAGGAACACCATAAAGCAGCCACTTTCATCATCGCCTACTAACAAGTCTGCAGAGGCAAGGAACACCATAAAGCAGCCACTTTCATCATCGCCTACTAACAAGTCTGCAGAGGCAAGGAACACCATAAAGCAGCCACTTTCATCATCGCTTGTGACATCTGGTCGAACTGTGAGATAACAACTTATTTCGTGTTCTTCAACCTGTTCACCTTAACATCCATAGAAAATTTATTTGTCATGACGGCGGATAGGTATATATCGATCGTACATCCACTGCGTTATCAGTGATATGCCACAGCAAGGCGACTTTTTGGCACAATTTTTGCATCGTGGATTATTCCAGCATTTCTGTCCTTCTCTCCACTTTCTGGACGCTAGCAAGTTTGGAAACAGCTAAAAATACGGCAAAAAAGGTTCATGCTTTTCTTGTTATCACTGCATTCGAGGTGATACCCACCGTTGTCATGCCAGCCATGTACGTCCACATTTCCCTAACTGCAAGGCGACAAGCGCGGCAGGTTGCAACACACCAAACTCAACTCGACTTCAACAGTCACTTCAGTAATGGAGATAGACCGCTACAGAAGACTGCAGAAACGGGAAAGAGACACTCTGGCGTCGCACAGCAAAGCAAATTTAACAGAAGGACTGTCGATTCATCAAGTGTTATAGTATTGGGAGCTGTCATTGGTCTTTTTGTCCTGTGTTGGTCTTTTGACACAATGATTTCGCTTTGCACTAAGTTAGAACTTTGTGTAATCAGCGATGGTCTTTTCAGGGTATCTGATTTGATGATTTTTGCAAATTCTGCTATAAATCCTCTCATATATGCCTTGTTAAAGAAGGACATTAAACATGAATTGAGTTTTATTTGTTGCTGTACCGTAACAATGAAAAGTAGTTGCTTTTTTTCGACGATTCGTCAGTTCCAGTTGTTATGTAAACCAGCTTCAAGCTTGTGTATGCTAATTTATCAAATTTTCGATGTTTCAAAGATGATTAAGCCAGTAAAATTAATTGTACTCAGTCTCTGTACCCTTTTCTCATTTTCTTATCTATAATTATGAACACTTGACCGTCACCTAACCCTTTACAACCCAGTTTTGTTGCTTACAGCAAATGCTAGTCTTGATTTAATTTTTCAAGTATTGAAAAAATGGGCACTGATATCATGAGCTTGCAAACTCTTGCATTTTTTAACGAAAATGTCAATGATTAGTCAGTAAATGAATGTTAAGAAAGCAAAAGGAAATACTTCAAACTTTCGTGGTTTGGTCACAGATGTAACCATGGCTTTTCTTCTCATGTGTTTAAATCTATTTGTATACTTGCCCCCAGCTTCCAAAATAAGGACAAAAATTAGACTTGATGAAATTTAAATTTAGTTATTGAGGGTAGTTCTTAACGTGCATGAAAAATTCTTCCGTTAATACACCATAATCCTTCTCCTATATTAATCATTTCATTTCAGTTGGTAGCTTCATCATTGAGAAATCTTATCGCCAGAGAAATTTTCAATTGCCGATTTCCAAACAACCCTTGGAGATTTTTTAAAGCGAGTCATGGTGCTCATCTTTCATGCGATCATAAATTTTCATTCACTTGCAAATTAAACTCATTTTGGACCATTTTAATAAGAATGGTCGAGCACCAGGCCTCGTTTAAAAATAAAGAGCAAAGTGAATTGGGAAGTGGCCTACTAAGTGTCAAAAACAATCCGGGTTTGCTTCGGTTTTACATCGCTCTGTGATTGGTCCTGAAAACTCGCACCATTCTCTCAATTAAACAGATGCAAAACCAAACAAACAGTCGCGACTGGATCACTCGTTTTTTCCCGCGCCTTAGGCATTTTGCTTGTTTTCACATGGAGTTCTTATTGGCCAATGATAATGTAAACGTTTGCTCTGATTGGTCACTGGGATTTTAATATCTTTTTTGGTTATTAGTCACTCGATGGAAAACTGCTTTAACAGACTGAGATATCCATGGTTATCACACTCAGGAGCCTCGGTGTGCTTACTTACACTTTCGACTGGGCATTCATTTGATACCATTCAACAAACCCAGAGCAAAATTGTCTTTATATAATTGGCCATCTTTACGGCTACAACTCTATTTCGATCATCTTTAGAACTATAAAATACATTTGATTAACTTTTTGCACTGAGCGTGATCTTAGAACTTGAGGCGACCAAACGGCCACCCCATTACATGCACTTATTTTCAATGATCACATCTGTACATAATTTACAAATGCATGGCATGCCAACATTAGTTTTACAGTCATACAATCTTTTCTTAATTTTCGCCTCCCGTTTGTAGCCACGACCACAACACATCAAGTTGCAGTCACCTTCTTTAAGGGAGTTCAAATGGCAGCGGCGGCCACGCGTGCCTGGTATGCTGTATTCCGTCTGCCGGTAGCAATAGGTGGGAGAGTGACGCAGGTAAACCAACGATGATTTCTTTGGTCTCTTTGCTTTCGGCCTACTGCGGTACCGCTCGATGGTTCGCAGGGAGAATGAGTTTTTCTTTCCTCGTATCAGTCTCGCAGTAACCCTTGTGGCCGAGTGATACTTTCCTTTAATGATCCGGCTGATTTTATGGAGTGGTGGTAAAGTCAGACGGCAAGACTTAACTCTCCCTGCTTTTCCCAATGTGCATCTAACCACTCGATTCTTTTGTAGAACCTGTAAAACATTTTCACGAGAGAAATGAAGTTTGGTTTAGCATCCTATCTGCTGGAATTATGATCATACTAACTGCAAATCATTTAGGGTGGGCACCCGCCCCCTGCACGCTCTAATAAGACGAGCAATCGGAAAATCATTTTCAAGTATTTCTTAATATGTATAGAAAATCTCACAAATAAAGTAAACGAATAACAACTTGGACTTGTATTCACCTCAAGTCCAACTCTAACATTTTGCCTGAAGACAACTGTATCAATGGCGCTTTTGTTTCTCCTGCCATTCAGCATAAACCGTTTGGATGAGTAGCTTCCAAAGCGTACATTTGCACTACAACCTTGCCATTTCCAGGTCTGCCCGTACTTGGGACGTCTGATTACCTCGCAACTACATTCCGCGACATTTTTTGCTGTGCACGCCTTTGCTATACTGTAGGCTATTGACGCTGATAGCAATGCAGTTGTAAACGCATCCTCTCTCGTTCCAACTGTAAAGTAAGATTATTAAAAGATATCAAGAAAGAAACGCCTTATGCAAGAATAGCAAAGAACCATGGAGTGCCTAGCATGTAATATCACATACTCAGTAATGGGCGTCGTTTACCCCTATGTTTTGTATCAGTGCGTATGTGTATAGATGAAAATAGTTTTGTGTGTTTTGACGTTAGCCTAACAAATTAAAAGCGGCGACACGCAATGAAAAAGACTGAAGAAGAAGACGCGAAGAGACGAATTTCTTTATAAACAACACAAACCAATTAAAGAGCAGGGACAAATAGGACAAAATATAAACACTCCGAAGCAGACGGCGTCTAGAAGACTCAAACAGGCCAATCGCTGCAATCACGAAGCCAGAACAAAAGCTGACAGAGATAAGGCCAAAACGTGAAGTGAAATTACAATGGTCGCCTAAATAAGCCATCCTGGCCCCTTTACGAATCAACTCAGATCTGCCTAAAAATGATATCAGTTGCTTTCAAATTAGCTACTCTCCGAAAACAGTTGTACTGTATATTTTACCAAAACTTAGAATGGGAACTTTAAACTGGTCGGGGGTCTAATTCGATATATACGCCAAACTTTTTCAATTATTTTTCAGCAGGGACGATTTTAATTTCGTGCCCTCGACTCAGGAGAGCAGGAAGTTTTCGCTGTATGACGTTATTTAGTCTGCATGGAGCCTTAGCAATGGAACAACAGTTAGCATTTTGGAGATTTTTAACTGAAATAAAACATGACTTTCTTTGTTAGTTCTTTCCGCGTTTTCTCTAAATCCTTAACAGAAGAACTATAAGTAGTTTTAAAACTGAGGTGATTTCAAACTGCTCGTTGTGTGCTATTTTGTTGTTTTAATCACGTTTCCGTGGCCATTAAGACTCATTTTGATCCTTGGCTTTTCATATCTGTCAGTTTGGCCTTTCTCTACAACCTTAAAGAATCGTAAATACGCCTATGACAACAAATGTTGGAGTTAAGAATAACAAAGTTATGTTGTTTAAAGTAAAGTGCGGCTGACGCATGCACTCACCTGGTGCCCGTTCCCAAACACTGTTGTTCTCAAGCGTACTACAATTCCATCTATTCCACTGAAATTCTCGCTCGCATTCTGACAAACCCGTCTCGATCCCTTTCCTTATTGCAGTCTCGAGTCCAGGCACTCTGAAGCAAAGCTTTCTTTGACTCACGGACAGTCCCGGTGCTTCGTGGCACCATGGATTAGAACGGCGTGGCTTGTTAGCTTTGCTCGAGTCGCTGTGAGAAAAAGAAAATTCATTCTAGAAGCATTTCGTACTCATTTGGAGAGCATCAACTTAGTCAGCAATTCAACTTCTGTTTTGATTTTCGTGAGGAAATAGATTGGGGTCTGTATTGATCGAGTGTTACTGTAGTTAAACGTTCTTTTTTCAAGCGCTTTTAGGTCAACGTTTTTCGTGTGTTACATGCGTTTCCTTCGAGTTTTTATATCTCAACAGGGAAAACCTGGGCTTTAACAGTCATGATGCCAAAATTTTTAAGAGTCTGAAGGCATAATTTCCATTGATAACTCATTGAATTCCGCTAAACTCTGCATGATCCGAGCCGCCTATTCAACGCTATATTTGAATGTCACGTTATCTTGCCCATGGAGCTCTCATAATGTTTGTGCCTGCATCGGTAAGCAAGATTATGAATCTTAGATCTATCAGATATTTTTTTTTTCTTGAAGACATTCGGATTTGTGAAAGTGGAGATTTTCCTGTGAAGTCACTTTGAATGAACTGTTGGTTATCTCGGTCGGCAATTATCGCAGACATATGATCCTCAGTCTTAATTAATTCAGAAAAGATAGTGGGATGTTAGACAACTTATCACGATCAAAAAGTTTTCATCTCTTTTTACCAATTTTGAAAATGACAGATAGGGCCTGATTCTCACTCTATCATGACTGCGTACCCAGTTTTTTTTCAGACAAAGATCTCGCTTTGTTTGAGCGGAAATTTGATAGCTCTTATCCGAGACAAAGTGAGAGACCCTAAAGAAGAGTAGAGCACGATCTTTAAAGATTTAAGGCGGGTGTACTATACTTCAGTCTATGTTGATTTTTAAATCTGTTGCTACTTCAGAATGTATGTACGTCTTAGCGGCACGACGCCATTTCCTCAGACATTCACCTCGACAGTTAAGACTGGTATTCACGGAAGAGTATTATTGCATTGCAAAAGATTCGTGAACATACCTGGCTCGACTTGACTTTCAACACTAAATTAATTAGGATCAGTTAGCCTGCGAGAACTTAATAGTCATCTTGACTTGATTTTGAAAAATCCTGCGAGAGGCTTGGCTTCTTTGCATTTAGATCGAAACCAAAATTGCTATTTCCAAATCTTATTTGCTGTCCACGCTTAGCTTTTTCTAGCCAATACTTAACGACAAGTATGTCTCACGAGTTACTTACCCAAAATAGGACAACAGGAACAAGATGAACGCTGCATACAGCTTCATTACTGATGTCTCACAAATAGCGGAGGTTTAATGCTTGCATGTAGTTTTACCTTATTGCCGAGGAATGTCTCCTCCACGGTACCCTGCTGTAAGGATAATATTTCCAAGCCATCTCGTGAAACAAGAGCTTTTTACACAGCATAAATGAGAAGCAAGATATGAATTCCATCGCCTGTTGACAGAATTCGCTGAAGGGATCGTTTTTGTTTTGGCACGACATGGAAAAACAACTCTCGACTCTGAACGTTGTTTAAATTTGTTATGGTGTGCAGGTTCTATTTCTTTGGAATTCAAGGTTGATCCCTTTTTTGCGTAAATATTCACTTGTTTACGTAGACAGAGTTAAAAATGTATTAAGGTTTTACATATAATCTTTCATAATTCTCTAAACAAGGTGCCGAGCTTAACTACGTACATTTAGAATCTTAATACTGTGGGTTACGGTGCGACCGTTCAAATTAAACCGGTAGTAAAGGTGGGTGGTAATAATAATGATAACAACAATATTTAGTATAGGTAATCGCATGGGGCCGAGTAAAATTAAGGATTAATATCACGCGTGTTTTCGGAAGTTGCTGAAATTGCCCGAGTCGCGCAGCGACGAGGTCAATTTCTGCAACTTCCGAAAACA